ATAATAATAATAATAATAATAATAATAATAATAATAATAATAATAATAATAATAATAATAATAATAATAATAATAATAATAATAATAATAATAATAATAATAATAATAATAATAATAATAATAATAATAATAATAATAATAATAATAATTTTTTTCTGTTTCTGTTTTTTATTTGCCAAGTGTAATGAAATTATTTTTAGTATTTTTACGGGTATGTATTCCGTTTTGACTATACAATGTATACTTTATTAATTTTAATTTGGTAATTTCGTAAATTGTGTGAATTTTTTTATGGATTTTATTTTAAATTTTGTAAATATGTATTAATGTTGAATTATTTTCATGAGCGGCTAATATGTCTCCGATTTAGCCTAAAAAACCTAAAAATCCATTGAATAATAAATAGCTAAAACTATCTTTTAATAAATTGGATTTATGATTAACACGATAGCAACCATAAGCCTTCTACAAAACAACCACAAACAAGATTTTCCAACCCTTCTATTTCGCAGAATTCTATCAAACCCAAATAAATAAACATGCTCAAATATTATGACAAGCCATAATCCCTTATGATAGTGTGGCAGATAACAAATCGACAAAAATGGGCGGTACAACTCCTACAAACCTAATCCTGTATTCAAAATCACGACCGGTATTATTGTCACTTTAATACAATTGACGAAAAGCAAAACTACGGGGGGCAGATTACATTTCCAGAAGTGACAGAGCTGACGGAAGCTTGTAAATTTGTCTCTGGCAGGTTGTCAATAATGATTAGTATGACTGAAAAGTAGATGAAAGTATACCATAATGTGAAAGAGTGATATAGCAGCTATAACTGTGTATAAAAATGTACACAAAAATTATGTTAAAAAAAGTATTTGTTATCATAAATATTAATAACAAATATATAAGAATTATTTTTAAAATAATAGACCAAAAAAAAACAAGAGCTGTACAAAAATTCTATGTCATTAAATAGAGAAAAACTCACTCAATAAGGTCATCCAATTTTGGATCGAATATCACAAATAATGGTATAAACGTTTTTTGAAGTTTAAATATATAAACTTTTTTCTAAGAAATTACCAAAAATAATCTAAAAAGAGAAAATTTTAAAAAGAAAATTAATAACACAAATTTCACCTCAAAGAAAATTTTAACAACGTCTTCGAAATTTTAATTAACAAACCTTATCACCAAAAAATTACAAAAAAATATGATTACGTGCCCATTTTGCAGTTGGATGATGGAGAACATACATTTTCTAACTACATGCGCAAGTAAGTGGTAGAATTTATCTGCAGTTGACGCAGGTGTAGATATTTTTAGATGTCCTTGCAAATTTGACTCCCGCAGTCGAAGGTGAAATAAGTTGTAATATAAATATTGTGATCCTTATAAATTAAACGTATATTGACAACTCTCTTTAATATAACATTACAAGATATTAATGACCATAACAGTTAACTACTACTACTAGGAGGTAAGCTTATTAGGCTCTCTTCATACACCTTCCCCATAAAACAGGATGACACTGGAGCTCAATTGATTTTTCTTCTTAATTAACTCTTCTGACATGTCTTATGTTTTTCACGTAAACTGGACCACTTGCACATTACATTATCTTCTTATTTAGATTCCAATTTTGTTCCACAACTTCGTTATTGGATCTTGAATTCGAACTCTAAATCCAATTTGGAGTGGCGATAAATCTGTGACATCTCTGTTATATCGAAGAATCGATTTATTATTATGGTGTGTTGCTCGTTTGTCACAATCATCTGCAACATTTTACCATTCCTTTTCAAAGGATTTTTGATGTGCAGGAGCTAACGATCTTACTGGGAGACCAAATAAAATTCAAGCAGATGATCTTTCGTCTATTTTTGGGTTGTTTCTTCATTTTAGTAAACCGGCAAAAATTGGTCTTTATTTAATCTTTCACTAATCGTACATATTAATATTAATGCTTTCATGACTTTTACACCAGCCTCTGCATGATCATTGCCTTAAGGGCAATACGGACTGAAGGTGCAATAATTTACATTCCATTTTTTTTTTAAAGACCGGAAATCACTTGAAATAAATTGCCGTCTGTTGTCTGAATGGAACTTAAAGGAACCCCTTTATTATAGGCAAACTGTTGGGGTCTCCACAACTACTTATTTGGTTTCGTATAAGGTTGCGCTATTATATGCCTTAGAAAGTGGTAAACAAGTCGATGCTGTTTATACTGACTTCTCCAAAGCTTTTGACAGAGTTAATCATAAAATACTTTTAATGAAGTTAGGAGCAATTGGTTTTTATGATAATTTGATAGCTTAAATACGTAATTTTTGAACTGAAAAGATTCAAATGGTAAAAAATAATAATTTTATCTCAAAACAAATAGGAGTTAGTTCTGAAGTCCCACAAGGTGCACATTTCAAATGGTAAAAATCAATAATTTTATCTCAAAATAAATAACAATTAGTTCTGGAGTCCCACAAGGTACACATTGCTCACTTTGTATATAGGTAAGTACGGTTTAATCGACCTATTTTGACCCAAAAATATGTGGTATAATTTATGACCAATCTTTTTGAAACACCCTGTATAAACTTGCATTTTGTGGATCATTTTTATATTTTTTATAAATTTCATTTTTTTTATTGATAAGTTTAATTAACGATCCACTTATCCAAGCCTTTCGTTTTCGTTCATTTTTTTTATTTTAATTTTAATTTCAGATTTTTTGATAGCATGTTGGATATAGTCTACAAGTCTCTCAACTGAGAAATCAAGATTTTGAATATTTATAAATTCACACCAATTTATATGTTGTATATGTTCTAATAATATTTTGTTATTAATTTGTTTGTAGTAATTTTTATGTTCATTAATATAAAGTTTAACATTGCAAGTATCAAACATAATTTGTAATAATATTACGAAGTGGTCTGTAATGAATGTTTCCACAGTTGATGATCAAAATTGTTTTTATCTGATTTTATAAAAATGTGGTCTACGCAAGATCCGGAATCTGATCTAGTAACAGTATTTATAGCCGATAGGAAATCATATTCAGCAAGTAGGGTTAAATAATTTTGGGTGTCCTCTATATTTTTAGCTAATAAGTTAATATTAATATCACCAATAAAAATTCTGTAATCAAATTGGTTAGGATGACTTTCTAATATATCTCTTAAACCTTCTAAAAATAAAAATATGTCCACATTTCTATCTGAAGGGGATCTGTAAAATGAGTTTATATTAACCATGTTTTTATTATATTCTAATTTCACACGTATTACAAAGGAATCGCCTAGCTTTACATTTATCTGATCCAGATATAGTTCTGTTATTATGAAAACCAACACACCATCATTTTGATTTCGAGTGCCGTTATTATGGAGTGTCTTATAACCCTCAATATTATATATCTCAACATTTGGAATACTTCTAGTTTCTGTAAACACAATACAATCAGTAGATGTGTCTAGGTCTTTGCTATACTTCGAATATTTCAAACAAATATGAAAAATAGAAAACATAAAAAGATCTCACGGACTTAGGCCTAGTGGCCACATTACTGGCCCATTTCAACTATAAAAAAGAAACAACGTTGGAAACACCCCGTAGAATACGAATTTCATAATTTTCCGGTATTGACCTCAACTATTTCAAACGAATTCAACGTCTTGAATAAATTCAATTAAGATGCATAACTTGCGAGATGAACTTGCTCTTGAAAATGTCCTCAAATTATTTCTTTATACAATCATTCCCTATAGTAATATGCACACAGTGAATTTGTATAATGAAATAACGACTCACTTAAAATGAATTGAGTAATTCAGCCAGGCGCCTCATCTCCTGAATAACCATCACCATTTATTGGTTTTATTTTTCTCATTAAATTTAATTAAATAAGACATAAATGATTTTTCCTGCTGTTTATTAGTTATGTAGCAGTAGCAGTTATTTATGTGCCAAAGATAGATTGTAGGTGTTTATACTATCAGCTCATCAAAATCTTATTGTTCCTGTTGATGTAAAGCAACAATAGAGGTATGAAATTTAGTAGGAATGTATTACGAAGGGCTTACAATAAGGATCTACGAGTTGTGCTTGTTTAATGCCTGAAAGGCGTGTGAAACGGGATTTGATTTATCTGTAGTTTAACGGTAGTTCATAGATTTAACGCCTCATGGAATATAAAAAATAGAGGCCATATTTCTACCTAAAATTGAATATATTTTTGGTTAAATACGGTTATCTGAGTAAACGCAGCAAGCATTATGCACATAGTTTTTAATTTCAAAATATGTATGTGATGGCTATAAGTCGGATTATTTATATAGGGTGTTCACTTTTGTCTACACTATATAAAAATATTTTTGAGTAATAAGTAATGGGTTCTTAATTTTTTTTGTAAAAATTGAAAATGATGTACTAAGGCTGGTAAGTGTAATAATTTACTCATAACAGTTTGTACACCGAAGCCCGTAGATAAATAACACTTCTAAGTCGAGGTGTATACGATGTTTCTCTTACTACTGCAAGAATATAATTATGTCAGACATTTGAAGGGTACACGGAAAGAACGAGCTTAGTCAATTCTTGTCAAAAATTAGCTGACAGGGCCATCTGGTATAGAAACTTGGGCACCTTTTAATGGTGTAGTTATCCACGGATTAAAACATTTGCTTTTTAGTGGAATTAACACATAGCGCATATGAATGATATTAGGCGGAAAGTCCTGGATCAGTGTTTTGAACATTTTAAATTAAAAATAGAAATAATAAAAGATTCAAGCCATTTGTTCGGAAATATTTGTTGTAGCCAGGTTACATTAAATAAATTAAGAAGATGTTCATGAACACTTGGTGGGAGATGTTTCGGAAAGCTGACTAATATTTTATTTGGTCCAGCGACGCTTCGCGCAAACTTGAAAGGTTTTCTTCATATTCAGATGAAGATATGGCAGATTTATTCATTCGTTATTAATTGAGTTAGTTGAGATAATCTTTCTTCTGTCTTTCTTCTGTCTTTCTTCTGTCTGTCTTTCTTCTGTCTGTCTTTCTTCTGTCTGTCTTTCTTCTGTCTGTCTTTCTTCTGTCTGTCTTTCTTCTGTCTGTCTTTCTTCTGTCTGTCTTTCTTCTGTCTGTCTGTCTTTCTTCTGTCTGTCTGTCTTTCTTCTGTCTGTCTGTCTTTCTTCTGTCTGTCTGTCTTTCTTCTGTCTGTCTTTCTTCTGTCTGTCTTTCTTCTGTCTGTCTTTCTTCTGTCTGTCTTTCTTCTGTCTGTCTTTTTTCTGTTTGTCTTTCTTTTGTCTGTCTTTCTTCTGTCTGTCTTTCTTCTGTCTGTCTTTCTTCTGTCTGTCTTTCTTCTGTCTGTCTTTCTTCTATCTTTCTTCTGTCTTTCTTCTGTCTTTCTTCTGTCTTTCTTCTGTCTTTCTTCTGTCTTTCTTCTGTCTTTCTTCTGTCTTTCTTCTGTCTTTCTTCTGTCTTTCTTCTGTCTTTCTTCTGTCTTTCTTCTGTCTTTCTTCTGTCTTTCTTCTGTCTTTCTTCTGTCTTTCTTCTGTCTTTCTTATGTCTTTCTTCTGTCTTTCTTCTGTCTTTCTTCTGTCTTTCTTCTGTCTTTCTTCTGTCTGTCTTTCTTCTGTCTCTCTTTCTTCTGTCTATCTTTTTTCTGTCTGTCTTTCTTCTATCTTTCTTCTGTCTTTCTTCTGTCTTTCTTCTATCTTTCTTCTGTCTTTCTTCTGTCTTTCTTCTGTCTTTCTTCTGTCTTTCTTCTGTCTTTCTTCTGTCTTTCTTCTGTCTTTCTTCTGTCTTTCTTCTGTCTTTCTTCTGTCTTTCTTCTGTCTTTCTTCTGTCTTTCTTCTGTCTTTCTTCTGTCTTTCTTCTGTCTTTCTTCTGTCTTTCTTCTGTCTTTCTTCTGTCTTTCTTCTGTCTTTCTTCTGTCTTTCTTCTGTCTTTCTTCTGTCTTTCTTCTGTCTTTCTTCTGTCTTTCTTCTGTCTTTCTTCTGTCTTTCTTCTGTCTTTCTTCTGTCTTTCTTCTGTCTTTCTTCTGTCTTTCTTCTGTCTTTCTTCTGTCTTTCTTCTGTCTTTCTTCTGTCTTTCTTCTGTCTTTCTTCTGTCTTTTTCTGTCTTTCTTCTGTCTTTCTTCTGTCTTTCTTCTGTCTTTCTTCTGTCTTTCTTCTGTCTTTCTTCTGTCTTTCTTCTGTCTTTCTTCTGTCTTTCTTCTGTCTTTCTTCTGTTTTTCTTCTGTCTTTCTTCTGTCTTTCTTCCGTCTTTCTTCTGTCTTTCTTCTGCCTTTCTTCTGTCTTTCTTCTGTCTTTCTTCTTTCTTCTGTCTTTCTTCTGTCTTTCTTCTGTCTTTCTTCTGTCTTTCTTCTGTCTTTCTTCTGTCTTTCTTCTGTCTTTCTTCTGTCTTTCTTCTGTCTTTCTTCTGTCTTTCTTCTGTCTTTCTTCTGTCTTTCTTCTGTCTTTCTTCTGTCTTTCTTCTGTCTTTCTTCTGTCTTTCTTCTGTCTTTCTTCTGTCTTTCTTCTGTCTTTCTTCTGTCTTTCTTCTGTCTTTCTTCTGTCTTTCTTCTGTCTTTCTTCTGTCTTTCTTCTGTCTTTCTTCTGTCTTTCTTCTGTCTTTCTTCTGTCTTTCTTCTGTCTTTCTTCTGTCTTTCTTCTGTCTTTCTTCTGTCTTTCTTCTGTCTTTCTTCTGTCTTTCTTCTGTCTTTCTTATGTTGAAGATGGTGTTTAGTCATGATATTCTTCTGTCTGCCATATTTCTGGCATTGGAGTTTCAGGGTTAAAGGTGAATACATATTCAGTCCAGGAACTCTGCGTTGTTTCTGGATTTAGCACTTAACCTTAAAAATTCTAATTTGTTTTCCATGGTCTTATACCTCTTATATTTCTAGAATTAATTTAAATTCATAAGATACATTTAAAAAACTGTAAAATTTGATTGATGTTCCAATATGCAATACAACATTAAAATCAAAATAAAATTTAAAATAATCGTATTTCTACAGTCACAGTAACTATCTGTTTAATTTATTCAACAGGCCTCATATAATTTACAAAAATGAACTAAATAATTTTCTTAGACTACGCCCATTTTACGTTTATTACTTCTGTAAATTCTGTTTTGTAAATTCTATTTTGTAAATTCTGTTTTTTAAATTCTATTTTGTAAATTCTGTTTTGTAAATTCTATTTTAAAATTCTGTTTTGTAAATTCTGTTTTGTAAATTCTGTTTTGTAAATTCTGTTTTATAAATTCTGTTTTATGAATTCTATTTTGTAAATTTTGTTTTGTAGATTTTGTTTTGAAAACATTCTTTTGGATTTCATGAAATATCAAATTGTTACTTAACGTAACACTCTATATATCCAATTATATTTATTAAATACGCCCTTTTTAAATCTTGCTTGTCTATAAAATAGCGAGAAAATATTCACTAAATGAACAATTTCTATATTATCTTATCCAGATGTTTCAAACAGATTGTTTTTTTTTGTATTCGTTTAAATTTTTCACGAAATGCGATGCTACTTATTGTATTACATTTGTAAATCCTTTATTGTGGTTCCGTATACCTGTGTACAACAACACTTACTGATTCTTCCTTACCGCTTCCTAACCATCATTCCACACCCCCAAAACCGCTGTGGTAAGAACAATTTCCTGTGAAACATTTTATCTTTAAAATAGAATTGTATACTGGTAGTTTCTATGAATAGAGGATGTAGGATTACGCTTGTAACAGTTGTATCTACTATTTTTGCCAGTCTGTGTTATGTTTACTTTGATAGTAGATAATGGCTTGTCATAATATTTGCCGATGCTTATTTGGTTTAGATAAATGTAGGGAAATAAAAGGGTTAAGGATCAATATTTATAAAAGTTGTTGGACAGACCAGGACTCAACAGGAGGCAATACACATTTTTTGGATGTATTAATAAATTAATTATTTATTTTAATTCGCAGCCATATTCAACATGGAACCATCAGTTTTTAATACTGTTTTATATAACAACACTGGTAAGTGTAACTTCTGTTACAGTAAGTAAAATGTTAAATAGTTTAACCTTTTTTCTGATTAAAAATTTATTTAAAAATATATAATTTTTAATTTTAAAAATATTTGTTAGGACTGCGTTTGCACTATTTATTTATTGTTAAAATAACCGGTTTTCTTTAAATACAAACTAAAAATCTAAAACTAAACGTTTTGACAAAAATGGCTAAAAGGCAAAGCGGAACAATCCCTAAAAGAACCTTTTTTTAATACATGTGAAATGTTATGGACAGCAATAACATGCTAGACTAATCGCTGAATAAAATTACTTAAAAAAAATATCGCTAAACTAACATTGCCAACATGATCTTCTATCGATAGCATAAATGTTTTTCAGAAAAATATTGAAAATAGTTAATTTAAGAAAATATAATTTACCTATTGACAGTGATGGTTTGCAGTGTGCTTGGAAAAATCATGATATTCTATTCAAAGATTTACATGTAGCTAAATATTTAAATATACTCTGTGAAAACGGATGTCAGTAAGTTTGAACGTATCAAAGTTGGGTCCCAAAAACCATAACCATTTATCTACCTTTAAAAAAGATGTGGGTTGAATTATGTCATAAAGAAAATAGGTTGAAAATTGAAAAGTTTGGCCTTGTTGTAGTATTTCCACATTTCTAACACAATGTGGAGACGTATGTATGAGTACAAAAAAATTACCTACGCAAATTCAAAACTTTATTGAATTCTTTATAACATAAAAACAGTACTAACTAATTAAAATTAAAAAGCAAAGATATATTATCTGATGGATAAACATATAAAATATATAAATAAATAATAAAATCGACGAAGTGCGAGTCGGACTCGCGCATGAAGGGTTCCTCACCATTGTACAAGATTAAATATTATGTAGATCCTTTATTAAGATCGAGCAAAAAAATACTTTTCTAGTAGGGGAGCTCCCCTTTAAATTTGTAAAAATTTCAACTGTCTTCCTATTACAGGTAATGAAATACAGCCCGCGGACAGACAGGCGGACAGCGAAGGCTTATTAATATGGTCCCGTTGGTTACCTTTCGGGTACGAAACCCTAAAAAGTTAAAACGTTAAAATTAAATTCCAATAAAACGAATGAAATACTTAGAAGGTACCCTTATAACTCATATAAAACTCGTAGAATTATTTATTATGTGTGTTATGATAAAATTCAACTATATCCTAGTATAATTTGTCTATTAGGTAGGCATGTAAATGTTTCCTGAAATTACTGAGAGTGTTATGTTTTTATTTGGTTTTAATTCAGTGCATGATGCTGCATTAGCCAAAGGAGTAGTTGTTTTCTAGAGAGAGGGAAACGGCCGTTAACAAAATGTTCATAGCTCTTTTAGTTTTCAAGATACAGGTCATTTTTGAAAATGTTGCATTTTGGTACCCCTCGTATCTTCGTTATCCTTTAACTTATCGAAAAGGTAAAATAACGCTCTTATCGATTTGTTTCCGTAGAATGCAGTAATGTAGATCATTTTCGTATTTACGTATTTACTATTTTTGAGTTATAAAGTAAACTTAGGTTTTTTATATATTTATAGACTATAAAATTTGTCTTTCTTTTACCTTTTAAAAATGTATATTAGTATGTACTTTTTTTCAGAAACACGCAAATAAATTACAATTTTCCAAAATTAAATGCATAATTTAATAGTAGTGAATAAAATTTATTTTCAATTTGTAACATCAAACTATTTGATATATTTTATATAGTTAAATTACCCTCCATATTTTTTTTATATACACCGGTAAACATTGAAATTTTTTTATTCTTTATTTAAAACTACAAACAAAATATTTCGATTTCAATTTATTTATAAATTTTCATTAAGTGAAAGCGATGAAACAAAAATTTGGAAACGCGGTATTTTAAAACAGTGACAGATTAGTGGGAGAATATAAGCTTTTAAGTTGTTTTAAATTCAAAATTATCAAACATATGCCTCTTAAAAACCATGTTTTTGTACTCGTTACATAATTTATGCCCTTCCTCTAGACGCCACATCCCAGATGGAATTTAGAATATAAAAGAAAGATTTCGTCTTCACACAAGTAGGTATACACCAAAATCAGACAATATGAAAACAAATAGCAGTTGTTTTCTCGTAACAAATGTCACGCACCCGTAGGCCCGATATATTATAGTTATTTTATTAAGTGACAACAGACTCTAAATTATGGTGACATTATATAGTTTTTTAACATTAGCATCTGGTAACCACAGGTTACATGAAAGGACAGGTTTGAATGAGAGGAAATGTACTTAAACGATAATGATATTATTGTTTGATCTTAATAAACTGATTATTCTTTTAATAAGAAAATAATGAGTAGATCTATAAAAATGTCTTTAATAAAAGAATCGAAATTTAATAAAAGTGTTTCTACGTCTACAATATAAAAATACATTTCCTAAACTATTGATGATTTAGTAAGTAATAATTTCCTTATTAGACCTTCATAACACAAAGTAGTCTTTCCCTAATTTTTCTAATAAAATAATAATTATTAAAAATAATAATAATAATAATAATAAAAATATTAATAATAATACCCTTCTCGTGGGAACTATATGGATATTAATTATATACAACTTAAGAGAACAACAAAAAAGGAGAACGATACGAAAATACAGGGAAATAATGCCGATGAACCCAAAGAAAAGGTAGAAAACCTATTTGCGAATATAGAGAACGTAGAGAAACTAACAGAGTTTAACATGGATGAGACAGACGTTTTTGTAAGAACACCTCCCGGACTAGAGAGCGCTGGACTACAAGCTAAAGAAGATGATGATGATGTGTTTAGCAGAGCAAGAACAAGTTCAATTTCAAGAAATGAAATAGTAAAAGCGATGACGATGAAAAGGCTGCGAGACGAAAGCGATGAAGTGGGAATAGAGGAAGTTAAAAAGGGACTACAAAATTTAACAAGAACGATTGAGGCATTGGTAAATATTACTGAACAAAGCTCCAAGACAAAGCTAGAAATTAAGAATTTGGTACAAAAACTAAAGACAAGCCAAAGACGTAACCAGAGATATGGAAGATGTAGAAAAACAAGACGAAAAAAGGTCAAAGTAAAAATACAGCCATCAAATAGATGAAATCTATAGAAGTGTAAGTGGATGAAGAGGACATTAAGAAAGAATATGAAGATAAAAGGCATGACACAAATGATAAAAACAGCTCTAGAGAGAAACGGGGATTTTAAGGAACTTGAGGAAATACTGGATGCAAAATGGCCACAAGAAGTGTAGAAGATTACTGAGGTAGAAGGTTCAAACCAAAACACAGGACTAGAGCGACAAGAGAATTATTGCATGCTAGTTGACCCAAAAAATATTGAGAATAACAAAGTAATTTAAAAACTTATATTAAGGTATGAAGGGTTAGAAAAATTAATTAGCGATAATGAAGGACAGCTTAATTACCTGATACAAAGAGCTAGAACACAAACTAGAAAAACTCGAACCTGAAGAGATCAGTAGTGCTGTGTATTTGTGTATAAGATGTAAGATCTGAGCTGCAGAAACAAAAAAAAAGGAAAGAGAGAATAATGGCGGTAAAGGCAGAAGGAAAAAGTTATGTAGATATAGTTAAAAGGCATAAACAGGAAGTTGACATAAAGAAGATAGGGGTTAAAATTAATAAAATTCATATAACAGATAAAGGCGACCTTCTCTTAACAGTTGAGGGTGGAGAATGTATGGCATGTGTAGCAGCTATTACATGTTAGTCTAATCTTAAGTCAACTCGGTAGCTGGGGAAACGTAGATTGAAGGAATAATGACATTAGTTGTGAAGTATTAATAAAATCGTAAAAATCATTTTAACATATATTTTATTGGTACAATTTGGTGACCCCGACAATAAAGATGCCTACGAATAGACAACGCCAGAGAAGTCCATTAAACAGCCAGCAGCAACAGGAATATAGTCCGACAGTTTTAAGTTCCAATCCGAAACTACCGGAATTTTGGTCACGTGACCCACATTTATGGTTCGCTCAAGTAGAAGCAATTTTTTTAACAAGAAACATATTCGATCCCCTAACTAAATATAACTACTTAGTAGCGTCATTAACTCCAGAAATTGCAACAGAAGTACGGGATATTTTATTAACAGCACCAAATAATGAGTCGTACTTAAATCTTAAACAAGAATTAACAAAACGGTTTACTTTTTCTGACACAAAAAAGAAGTCTTTAGCTGAAAGGATGGCAGAAAAAGAGAGATTAAAACGGGAAGAAATGGAACGGCGGCTCAGAGAAGAGGCCGAAGATGAAATAACGCCCGAGGAACGTTTGCGTTTACAAAAAGAATCAGACTTACAAATAGCTCTTGCGACTACTTTTGGTGCCGCTAACAAAACCAATAACCAAGACAACGGTGGAGTGCTCACCGATCTCTCTATGCCTAACAATAAAGAGGAATTCTTTTTAGGTTTCTTTACATCTGCCTCAGACTTAGCAGCTTCCTCTTTCTTTTTCACTTTATCGCCCTTTTCGATCTTTTTAGTGTAGCAGCTATTACATGTTAGTCTAATCTTAAGTCAACTCGGTAGCTAAGGAAACGTAGATTAAAGGAATAATGACGTTAGTTGTGAAGTATTAATAAAATCGTAAAAATCATTTTAACATATATTTTATTGGTACAGCATGATTTGTCAAAAATTTTGCAATGAATGTTAACATGCTACTCTTAAACTATTCTAAAGCATATAACAAAATTAATCATAGTCAGCTTGGATATATTTTTCATCTGCTTAAATCATATCTAAAACAACGGACTCAAAAAGTTTTTTTAGTTGAAAAATGTTTAAACGATATTTAATCAATTGCAGCTTACCTCAAGGGTCCATTCTAGGGCCTGTATTATTCTCCTTATATATTTCCCAATATCGTAGACATTTTAAACATAAGGAATCACATTTTAATGTAGATGATACATGACTCTATCTTGAATTTAAAGAATCTGAGAAAGCTTCCTGTAAATGATGACTTGAGAAAATTATCAGAATTATCCACAAAATTCTGTCTATTAATTAATGACAGCAAATCAAAATCTATGTTGTTCGGTCAAAAGTTAACTAAAAATCCTGTAAAAATTTTTATTGTTCTTCAGATTGGTAATAAACCAACTATTTTTCAGAATGCGAAAAAATTTAGGTATATATTACTGACAATTCTCTCACATTTTCTTAGAACTTTTTTGTCACAATTTAACAAAAATTAGTTTTCATCGTATTCAAAATGCGGGTATACGAATAAAAGACGACGTAATCCTATTTCACAACATATTGCAAAACTTGGCTGGTTGAATTTAAATTAAAAACAGTAGAGTGTATATAAAATGTACCATAATTTTATTTGAAATATTTTGATTAAAGAAAGGCATTAATATCATTAAACCAGTCTCATACCAATCCAAATATTTTAATTCATTTTACACTAACTAAATCATTGTTCTCTGAAACATTTATAAAATAAAATACCTCCCATTAAATTGTTTGGACGTTTATAATACCCTTTTAATGACCAGATGCTTTTCGTGATTGGCCATAAATTTTGAATTCCTGATTAAAGGTAGTGTTCAAAAGGGCCGCGGCGACAAATTGTTAATTCGAAATCCCAACTTCTTAATCTTTAATAGTTTTTTATGCGTTTTAAATTACGACTGCGCATAGCTTCGGGAGATATCCGACGTGCCATACGTGGAGGTACCGTGTTAAAGGGTATTTTACGGTTATTAAAAAAGTAATATTTCAAAGAAGGTATAAAAAATTACATTAGGAATTAATTTGACCATGTTGCGGATAATTAAGGGTGGCAGATTAATAAATGTTGGCCTTTGGCTGAAAATAATCTGAAAAATGCAAAAATTCAGCATGTAAAACCTGCGGTAGAGACAACAGGCACAGACTCTTTAACAACGTTTTTATCCGATTGCTCCAAATTAATGTACAGTGTGTATCATAAAGACGGATCTATATAGGACGTTTGGAATAAAAGTAAATTAGGATGTTTAATTTTTGATTACAACAAATATTGTTTTAAATGAATTTTAATAAAAAAAAATATTTAAATTAAGCTTTATTATCTTGGAAATTGCAAAATTATCATAAAAACTCTATTTGTTTTTGCATAATTTTAATATTCGTAGAAAATAACCACACCATCAAACAATATTATTAAAAATTGGTATGGAATTGTTGAGAAAATGACAAGTTGCAAAACAACCATAAACACATCAAAATATTCGTACCCAAAAAACAAAAATTGGCATTTCGAGCAAACCCTTTATTGAATTAACGTGCATGACTTATTAATTTTTGTTAAGATTATAGAAATAATTATTCGTCCTGCATAATTTTGTATCCATGAACAAATACTTTTATTGTTAAAACAGATTGTTACTCTGAAGTTTATATAAATAAATCATAATACTAATAATTGTAGTTATTTTTATTAAATAATCTACAATAAATTTTCACAAATCAGGGTTTTATACAGTCCACTTGAACAATTTTAGCACTGCTTTAGTTACACCTGTGGTTTATACAAAAAAGTGAAATTACCCGGTATTATGAATTTTCAGTGCGATATTGTACACGTTCCTAATTCATTTTGTGTTTTAAAATTAGTCTATAATACAGTATTGTTTTTCTATGTATATTATTTGATGTTTTATTAAAAAATTTTTTTCTATTGCACCTTTTTAATTAGAT